AGAGAGAGAGAGAGAGAGAGAGAGAGAGAGAGAGAGAGAGAGAGAGAGAATGAATATGTCACAAGAAAATGTGCAGATGCTATTGGCAACCAATGTGAAAGGCAGTTCACAAATCTTATGTTTGAAGAATATGTTGTTCTGTTCTCAAACATCACTGTTCTTGTTCTTCAACAGGATTGTTTTGACTAGGAGTTTCTTTAAAACTTTATCAACCTTGCCTAATTTTTATTCAGTGTTGAAACTCATAGAGAAGCCTCTAGACTAAAAAGATGGTTGTTTTGGGGCAATAGCAGGGTTTTTAACTAGAGTGTTTGATTTGCTCCAGTTAGGAGCTAGGAAAATCAGACTCCAAGCCCAAAGTCTTATTTTATTTTTCAATATAATTTCAAGTTTCAATATAATGTCCATATGTGCTTTATTAATAATTCTTCATTTATAAAACTCCATGGATTTTGTCCTTTCCTTTGTGGGACACTTTTGGAACTCTGAGCTTAATGATGATGCACTAGTTTATGTGGCGAAAGAAATTTCAAGACAACACAGCATTTAGATCATAGCATTGGTGTTACTGATTGATTTTAATGCATGCGATTGAAAAGCAAAGAAGAAGAGAGCACAGGAATTTGGAAAATTTTTAGCTTGACCAGAAAAGAAAGAGTACAGAAAGTTTCAGCTAAAAAGGTTATGGCAATGCTTCACACTTGGACAATAAGAAGGATTTCTCAAGAGCAGCCATCACAGGCTCTGAGATATAAAAATGCAAATTTGTTTCAAAAGTATTGCAGAGAAGAATCATTTGAGAAAAGAGCCCTAGGCCACCCTGAATGCCCAGGACTACTTAGAGAATTATTTCCCTATGTATAGCCAGCTTGGCACTCAGAGGCTGCCACATCTGTGGATCATCAAGCAAGCCCAAGCACAGCTCATACCAGATGCAGACTTTGGCATTACACACATGATCTCATTGGGCAAGCAGGTAGAATGCAAGATGTATCATCATTGTAGCTTCCATTGAAATGTCAGAGGAAATCTTCTGGTGTCAGAAAGTGTGCTGTAGGATTGGAATCCCAATGAATCAATGCATGAAGCTGTAGGAATTAAGCTGAAGAGGCAGTGGAGACCCAAGGAAGTTTGAGATATTAGCCACCTGCAACCTTAATCAGAGAGAGCTACAGAATGTAAACAGAGCCAGAATATCCTTGTTTGCTATTTGGTGAACTGGAAATTCAGTAAACAGTTTGGGTTGGATTTATAAACTCTGTTCATAATGTAGTTTTTCAAAGTTCTCTTAAACAGTGATGCAAGGATTCTGGCTGTGGAAATGTATAAGGCAGTGTTCCTATGGCGAGCAAACTCCTGCTGGGTAAGAGGCACCCTATTTCCCATGGTTGGAATATTCTGCAGTTTCTCCCAAGAACTAGTAAAATGACTAATACATGCTCAATGCTGAGCTGCAATGGTAATGTCCTTCATGAGGAGGCTGTATGCTGGAGTTTTATCAGCCTTGACCTTAACCTTAGACGCTCAGCTTTTGGGAATAAAGGAACTCTCTCAGACAACACCAATGCATCACTGAGCCTAAACCTGCCCACATAACAGGATTGGAATCCCAATGAATCAATGCATGAAGTGTGCTGCAGTGAGTAATATATTCTAATGATGCCAATGACCTAATATAAAACCTATGGATAAACATAAAGCTGGCAGCTCAGATGGGCAGCGCTTTTACTTTGCCCCTGCACCTTGCTTCTGTCTCTTTTTGTTTTTCTTTACCCAGTGAGAATCTAGCAATGAATCATTTGCATTCTGTAAACCCAGTGTTTGTTGTTTAAAGTTACTGCAAAATGCAAACATAAAATTGAAAATAATCTATATTTTATTATTAAAATTTATAACTATTTAAATTTAGTGTAAAATTTAAAACCTTTTACATGCATTTACATAGCATCTCATAATGTATATTCTCTTTGCCTTCACCTGTCTCAGAAATTTAAGGCTGAATTTTTATATGTGACTCCAGTGTTACACAGCTAGTTAATATTAAATATGGAAATGATTTTCATGAAGAGGAGCTCCCTATCAAAAGTTAGAGGCAAAGGCATTTGTAAAGGAATTGAAATTTGATTTCTTTCCAATTTATTGTGTGGTATGCATTTGATCACATTCTGTACTATAGGGATTATCTCAGACCTGAGAATGGACCTTTACATTTTTGAAAGATAAGAGCAGTTAGGTGAGATTTGTGTGATAAAACAGAGTTAAAATAAGGTAGGAGAAACTAAGACACTCTCATCCAGAATGGGTCAAGCTTCAGGGATATTACCCACTCAGTGAGATCCTATTGGCAGAAAGGGAGTCTAGGCCTGAAGTGGTAACTGAGCTTCTGGAGAATAGGAGGGAGAAGTGTAAGTACTGTGGCATAAACTGTAGAGCACTACTGACATACCAGGATACAGAGAAGTCTGAAAGTTCATTTACAGAAATGTATTTAAAATAATTTAATAGTTGACTAACTATATCAATCAAATATAACTGAAGCAGGACACACTGTGTTCTCTGCTTATAAACTGCAGTTATTTCATTTCATTTATGTTTAAGTAAATAATCTTTAAGTTTCAAATACAACTTGTAAAATTTTACTTATTTAAAATAACGTAGGGTCTAGGATTTCACTGAGATTATGATCCTTTGGCCAGTTGTTACCTGGGGTCATTGAGAAAAGTGTTAAGCTTTGTAAACCTAATCCAGGAACTATACCTCAAATATCCCTTGTTCAAAATGGCAGAGAAGCAGTAAAATTGAAGAGCTATTAAGGCTTTCAACAAAATAGACTTTATTTGAGAAAAAAATCACTTAGAAATTACCTAGTCTGTTTTCTCTCATCTGCACTTATCACAATCACATATAATTATTGGTAAGTGAAAACAACAAAATCATGTTTTGCTTAGAGTTTCCTCTTTTTCTAGCATATATAACAGATACATCCTAGGTAACTAAAATAATTAAGAAGAATCCTGTTTTTCTGCTGTTAACAATATGTGTGTGTGTTTGTGTGTGTGTGTGTGTATGTGTGTGTTCACTCTGAACCACATGATGATACAATAATAAATTCAATAATTTAAGAAATAAATAAATTTCTTCTAGGCATAACTGGAGATTGTGAAAATTGTAAGACTGTATCCCAACATGAGAAATTTGACAATTTTATAAGGAAAAGATGGAAGTTTTTCATAGTAAACTTACATAGAATGTTAAAGAGGAAATTTGAATTCAAGGCAATAGAAAATATCTGCAAATCTATGCAATATACTTCACAAATATAAACCAATGCAAGCTTGCTTTTTATTCTGTTAATTATTTATTTGTTTATTTTTTTTAATTTTTTTTCTTGATTGTTCAAAACATTACATAGCTCATGATATATCATCTTTCATACATTTGACTCAATTGGGTTTTGAACTCCCAT